GCCAGAGACCCGAACGAGAGCCACGAGCTCAATGAAGCAGCCGTGTTGATGAAAAAACATATCGTTACCGCCCTCCTTGTTTTCCTGGCCGCGACACCTTGGATTCCTTCGGCAAAACGGACCACTGCCGCAACCGACGCGTGCATCTCGACCGCCAGAGACCCGAACGAGAGCCACGAGCTCAATGAAGCAGCCGTGCTTGATGAAAAAAACACATCGTTACCGCCCTCCTTGTTTTCCTGGCCGCGACGCCTTGGATTCCTTCGGCAAAACGGCCACAGCCGCAGCCGACGCGTGCATCTCGACCGCCAGAGACCCGAACGAGAGCCACGATCTCAATAAAGCAGCCGTAGTTGATGAAAAAACACATCGTCACCGCTCTCCATGTTCTTCAGGTCGCGAGACCCTGGATTCCTTCGGCAGAAAGGCCACTGCCGCAACCGACGCGCGCATCCCGACCGCCAGGGACCCGAACGAGAGCCACGAGCTCAATGAAGCAGCCGTGATTGATGAAAAAACATATCGTTACCGCCCTCCGTGTTTTTCTGGCCGAAAGACTCTGGATTCCTTCGACAAAAAAGCAACTGCCGCAGCCGACGCGTGCGTCTCGACCGCCAGAGGCCACCTGCAAACCAAACCAGCAACGCACGCACACACCAAACACAACAACAAAGTAATCACAAGCCGCAACAACATAAAACTGCGAGGCTCCTGCATCTCGCCATCCAGACCACTACGCTGCACGGCTCCACCACGGTCGGGTTCTTTTCGGTGGCCGGCACCAAGATGTCCTACTGCCACATTGGGGACGTATCCATCCAGGTGTGGCGCAGGTCGGCCCTCACGGGAAGCTACACGCGCTGCTTCATCACCAGAGACCACCACGTCCGCATCGCCACGGAGTCAGGCGAGGTGATGGGCCCGAAGCAGGTTTCGTTTTTCCCTGGCGTGAACAGGGCGGGCGACGACTTGGAGCGCTCCGTGGCGCAGGCCGACTACGGCGTTGTCCAATTGAGCAAGGGCGACATCATTATATGCTGTTCCGACGGCATCACTGACAACGTCCCGTACGATGCCATGAAGTTCGTGCTCACGCGCGCAGATTCCGACGCGCAGGCCGCGGCCGAGCAGATGATCGAGTGTGCGCAGATGCGCGGCGCGCCCAAGCCCGACGACATCTCGATCGTAATCGGCGTCGTCGGGGCTGTGTGAGAGAGCGAAGGCCATGAAGAATGCCTTCCGCACCCTCCTCGTCGTCCACCTCCTCCACCGCCCTCACCTCCACCTCGCCCTCGTCATCGTCATCGTCGTCGTCGTCGTCGTCGTCCTCCTCCTCCTCCTCCTCCTCCTCCTCGCCCTCCTCGCCCCCCTCCGCTTCCTCGCCAGCATCCGATCGGCCCAGTGGGCGTACTGGCACGCCAACGAGGTGCATCTCGACCGCCAGAGACCCGAACGAGAGCCACGAGCTCCATAAATCAGCCGTGCTTGATGAAAAAACACATCGTTGTCGTTATTCTTACCGCCGTCCCCGCGGGACCTGGATTTCCTTCGGCAAAAGGGCCACTGCCGCAACCGACGCGTGCATCCCGACCGCCAGAGACCCGAAAGAGAGCCGCGAGCTCAATAAAGCAGCCGTAGTTGATGAAAAAAACACATTGTTACCGCTCTCCTTGTTTTCCTGGCCGCGACACCTTGGATTCCTTCGGCAAAAGGGCCACTGCCGCAACCGACGCGTGCATCCCGACCGCCAGAGACCCGAACGAGGGCCGCGAGCTCAATAAAGCAGCCGTAGTTGATGAAAAAACACATTGTTACCGCTCTCCTTGTTTTCCTGGCCGCGACACCTTGGATTCCTTCGGCAAAAGGGCCACTGCCGCAACCGACGCGTGCATCCCGACCGCCAGAGACCCGAACGAGAGCCACGAGCTCAACGAAGCAGCCGTCGTTGATGAAAAAACACATTGTTACCGCCCTCCTTGTTTTCCTGGCCGCGACACCTTGGATTCCTTCGGCAAAAGGGCCAGTGCCGCAACCGACGCGTGCGTCCCGACCGCCAGAGACCCGCCAGAGACCCGAATGAGACCCGCGCGATCAATAAAGCAGCCGTGCTTTATGAAAACATACACATCGTTACCGCCCTCCTTGTTTTTGTGGCCGCGACGCCTTGGATTCCTGAAGCAAATCGGCCGCCGATGCAACCGACGCTTTTGTTTCGACAGCCTGAAGTCCAGAAGAGGGCCGCCGGCGAGTCCGAGCAGCCGTAGCTGATGAGAAAACATATCGTTGCCATTCCCCCCGCCCCCGTCGCCGCCAGACCTTGGATTCCTTGGACAAATGCCACAGGCACGAAAAAGACCAATCAGAAACATGTAGTAGCAGCTGTACGTGCTGCGGGATCCTGGGTTCCGACAGACGTGCCATTTTGGCTCAAGGCGTCCGCCGCTCCTGCGGGCAACAGGCGCGCTGACGTTGACACCCTCCCCTGCAAGGCTTCCAAGCGATGGCCGCCCGCGGCGTTGTCGCCGAGGCAGCCAACGTGCCCGCCCAAGGCATGAAGTCGCTCGGCGTCCACATGTGCGTCGAGGGCATGACGAGCGACGTGCTCGTTGCTGCGTGGGATAGGGCGAAGAACTTGAAAAAGGCCACCCCCCTTGGCAAGCCGAAGATCGACGGCAGTCTCGACCGCAAGGGCTCGGTGGACGTTTACGACCTGCCCGTCAAGCCATGGAGCGCTCGCGGCAACGCCTCCATAAAGTCCGTTGTCGACATCGTCACTGACGTCGACGCCGCCGAGATGGCCGCTGTGGACTGGGCCAAGGTCAAAGACATTATGGCAGAAGGCAAGTACAAGGAATTGCCGCCGCCGTTCTGCTTCAGCGACCCGGAGGCAGAGCCCCCTTGCACGATGAATCTTGCCGTCACACAGAGAGTCGCAGACGGACTCCCAATCGTCGTGAAGTGGATTCAGTTCATTGGCGGGGAGAAGAGCCCCTTCGTGAGGGACAGCATTATCCGCGGCAACATGCACGTTTTGGACTGGCGCAAGGACGTGTTCAACTCTGCCCGCACGATGCAGATCCTGTTCGAACGCCTCGGTGGTGTCCAAGCGCGATACTGGGAGTTCGTGAGCGCGCCCGCGCCCAGAGCTGGCGGCGGCGACGTTGACGTCGATCAGAAGAAGAAGGAGCTCTCGGCGGGCATCCAGCACATTAAGGACGAAGCCCCACGCACAAATGCTGACTGCGAACAGCTGGAGTGGGTAGAGTGCGAGCTGGTGGACCCTTCGTCGCCAATTCACAACCTCAGGCGGGAGCTCATCAACGCGGTCCTCAAGGTGCTGCGGGACCGCGACCATTTCGCCAACAAGCTGGTATACTACCCCATCCTGCTCCCAGATGTCCGCGATGAGTACCAGGGCGCCATGCGGCGCGCCATGGAGATGCTGGACACCAACACCGTCCTGTGCGTGGGCGAGGCGGGCTTCGGCAAAACGCCGTTCATGATGTCGATGGCCATGGCCAGCGCCAGGCACAACGCCGACGCGGAGAACAGGGCGACTGGCCGCGCCGACGCGGTGGCCGCCGTGCGGACAGCGCCCGACATGGATTTTTTCCGCGGTGAAGTCGGGCAGCGCTGGGCCCCTTGCATCTTCGACGACGGTGACCTGGCGGAGCAGAGGCCCAAGGTGTTGAAAGCATTCTTCGACACCACTCAGGCGGAGGCCATGACGTACGTCAGGTGGGGGGCGGCGAAATTCGTCCGCGGGCAGGCCCGCTTCGGCGGGGAGAACGAATACGACGCCAGCGCAGCGCCGACAGCTACGCAGTGGGCGCTGGCATCCACAGGCGCCGACGCCGCCCAGAAGACGACCGCCATCCTGACCGACATGCTCAAGCCAACGTTCCCGAAGAACTTCTCGCCGAGCAATGTCGGCGCTATGCTGAAACGCTGCACCGTGTTCTTGAACACTCCGACTGACATGTTCTTCAGGCTCGCTGGCACCGAGAGCCGCGTGGAAAAGCTCCCGTTGATGGATGGGTACCTCAAGCCCGAGGCGGGCAAGATGCTGCGCTCCTACTTGGCCCGCGGGGTCATGCGCGACGAGGAGGAGTTCGACAGGGTCATGGCTTACGAGAAGAAGATGGTCATGGAGATCACGGCAAAGCGCGGCGTCGAGTACGGCGTCCCCGCGGAGGCTGCAGGCCCAGTGGGGGAGCCGGCCGCGGGCGCTGCCGCGCCGCCGCCGCCGAGCTCGGCTGGGCGGATCTTTCTGGGCGACCAGGAGGGTCATGCGATTGAACGTGCAAGCCGCCCCCCCCCCATTGCGCCCCCCCCCCTGGCGCCATTCCCCCATGCTACTTTTTCGCTCCAAGGGATTCGGGGTGGTGGCGGCTTGCGCGTCCATCCGCCTGGCTCGAGGAAGAGGAGGACCCGTTCGGCTTGGGCGGCTCCATGATCGGCGAGCAGGCGGAGGCGCCCGCGGCCGCCCCTGTCGTGCCGACGGCGCCGATTAAGCGGGAGCCTTCCAATGTCTTCAGCCGCAACTTGCGCCAGAACGGGCCCGTCGAGATCGACCTCTGCAGCCCCTCCCCGTTGAAGAAGAAGGTGAAGTTCGAGTCGGGCACCGTCCCGCTGCAGAAGGTGAAGCTCGAGCCAGGCTCCAGCGACGCGGTGGGGCAGGACGAGTTCGGGCAGAAGCCGCCGAAGCCGCGCAAGCTCTCCCTTGTCTTGGGGGACATCATGGCTCATGAGCTGAACGGCGCGGCGGGGCTCTCGCCAGACTCTGACGTCGCGACGGAGCAGGGCGCCGTGTCACTCACCCAGGCTCTGGAGGAGGTCGTGGATCAGGAGCTGAGCCGCGCGGCGGGCCGCGGCGGCCCGTCGAGCAGCAGCGGCGGCGGCCGCGCGGTCTGAGGCCTAGCGGCGTTCGCTGGGCGCGTTGCCCGCCGCGGCAGGGCGGCGCGGGGGGCGGGGCGGGGTCTCGGGCGCGTAGATGGGACGTGGGCGGGAAGAGTTGCAGTGTAATTTCATCGCCAATGCGACGCATTGGGACGGGGCTGACAGCCATGCTATTGCAGGGAGAGAAGACGCGCGCAGAAACCTATCATCTTGACATCCAGGCCAGCTGTCGCAAACCTTGGGATGAATGCGCGCAGCACGTGATGCCATCAGGGCGGTTGTCTCTCACTCTCCCTCTCGTGGCCAGATTGGCTCGACGTCTGCGATCGCGCGCCCTCGGCTCCACCCTGAGCACTCCGCATACTTGACGACCAATTGGTCGAGCGAGATGGCCGCCAACGGCGATGCCCGACGTGAGTGCCAGCGCCTCCAGGTTCAGTTTGAGGCGGGCGTCGACTCGCTCGCGTACCATCGCGAGTGGTGTTCGCTGAAGTACCAGGCCTTCCAGGAGTTGCTTCCCCTGTGGCAGGCGCGTTCTCTGCTGCATGACGATGTCCGTGCGCGCGTCGCCTCTTTCCTGGTCCCCACTGAGCCGTCGTGGACGTGGATTCCACGGGCGGCGCTGGTCCGCGCGGACAACGACCCTGTGCTGCCGTACGTCTGCTGCTTAGCGAGCATGGCCCGCGGGTCTCGAACCGACCGATCGGCGGCCGCTGCTCTGGGCTCGGGGTGCATATACATACAGAGAGAGAGAGAGAGAGAGACAAAAAAAGCGCCAGAGAGAGAGAGAGAGAGAGAGAGATAGAGAGAGAGAGAGAGAGAGAGAGAGAGAGAGAGAGAGAGAGAGAGAGAGAGAGAGGCGGGGAAGGTAGCGAGGGATGGGGCGCGATCGATAGCGAGCCGACGCACCCCTAAGGAACTCCTCCACTGGATGCGCCCCGCCGCGTTGGCGGTCGGCTTCCCCGCCGACGCCGTGCCCGCCTCGCAGGAGGGCGCGCGGCTGCGGGTCAAGTGGCGCTTGATGGAGATGCAGATGTATTGCATCTACGACGAGCTGGAGGATCCGCCCTCGGAAGGCGCTGCCTGATCGGTTGCCGATCAATCAATTGTTCGATCGGGGTGGTCGGGGCATTGCCTGATCGCCCGCGCCCGCGGGGGGATGGAGGGGAGAGCACCTCTCGGGCGTATGAGTGGATATAGACAGTGGGGGATCCATCGGCCGCGGTCGATCGAGGCGCCCGTCTGGGCCTCGGTCGTTCCCAAGGACGTCAGGGCGAAGATGGCGACGCTCGACAAGACCATCGAAGGGCTGAGCCGCATGCGGCCGCGGGCGACGTGGGCGTGAGCCAGGCGCCATTGCCCGCCGCGGAGGCGGCGCGAGTTGGGCGGAGGGAGAGGGGGGGGGGAGGGCGGGGGCATGGGCGTGTAGATGGGGAGGGGGCGCGGAGATTGACATTTCAGTTTCATGGCCAATGCGACGCATTGGGGCGGGGCTGGCAGCCAGCAGTCACGGCATCCCACGCCGATCACGTGCGGCGTGCTGAAACGCCTCGCCCAATCGTCATCTCCGCCTTCTTCGCTTCCGCCGTCGCCATTGCCATCGTCGTCGTCGCCCTCTCGTCACCCGCTGCTGATGCCAGGGTCATCGCCGTTTGGGGCCAGGGCGTCTGGGAGGAGCCCCGGACGCGCGTCTTCGGTATCGGGGCACATCGCCGACTTGTCGGTGATGCATCGCCGACCCCGTGTCGTCTCTTCCGCGAATTCAGGAGGCAGTTTTGCAGGTCGAGCAACCAGCGTTCGTTGGTGCATTGTTGTCCATTCGCCAGGGCGCACGAGCTATGCCAAACCTGCGCGCCGCACATGCATGCTCAAGCGCATCGGCGCGCCAGGGGATCAGGCGCGCCTGCCCGTTCCTGGCCAGGGTCGTCGGCCAGAGCCGCGCCATGGCGCCTGGGCGCGTCTTCCCTGCGCCTAAGCGGGGCAAGGCGCGCGCTGTCCTCAAGACGGGGAAGCCCAAGCGGAAGGCCCCGAAGCACGCGGGAAAGACAACGGCGAAAAAGACGGCGCCAAACCAGAGTGCGAGGAAGGTGCCTTACGTGCGGCACGGCAAGAGAACTTGCACGTCCAGGCCGGAGCGCGTTGCTTTCAAGAGGAACGTGTTCGATTTCATACGCGCAAGTGACCGCGAGATCGTCGACATGTTGCTCGAGGACCAGGTCTTGGAGAATTTGGAAGGCCAGACGTGCTCTTTCTGCACGAAAGGAACCCTCGGCCCCCTGAAGGACGTCCAGGGCCGTGGACCGCGGTACCGCTGCAACCACAAGGGTTGCCAGAAGTTCTCCTTGCCCCAGAGCGGGCACATGGTCTTCAGCAGCGGCTCTGGCGTTGCCGCGGTGCCCTTGCAGGAACAGTCTGCCGTGCTTTTCGCTGTCGTGAACAACGTCCCCCTTGCCAAGATCCATGCGCTCACGGGCAAGAACCACAAGGCGATCGAGAGCATGAGCAAGTTCAATGATGCGTGCCGAAAGAGCGACGTGCAGCAGCAGGAGAAACTGATTTCTTTCGGAGGAAAGGGGCGGACGCGGAAAGATGTCGAGGCCGATGAGGTCGACCTCAGGGGCGATCTACTGCCTGATCACGCGGAGCGAGCTGAGAACGAGCGGGTCCAGTGGGAGCAGTGGGGCGGTGTCATCGAAAGAGGCAATCGCAAGACATTGGTGTTGACGCGCCTCAAGCCAAGCCTCACCAAGCAGAGGGCGCCAGGCCCAGGCGCGATACGCTTGCCTGATTGGACGCCGTTCGCTCACAAGAACTTGAGCAACAGGAACGTTGTGCTCCACACGGACGGGGCAAAAACGTACAAGGTCAAGGTCGAGGGGATGCTCCACGACCACGTCGTGCACCAGAGGAAGCGGCTCGTGAAGAATGGCAAGCCCGTGAAGAAGAACGGCCGCCAGGTGTGGGTGAAACCCACGTACGCCAAGAAGTTTCAGCATAAACTTCCTGGTGGACGAGTCCTCAAGTGCAAAGGCGGGACCCAGATCATCGACAGGTTCTGGCAGCACTTGCGCGGCTTCATCAAGACCAGGAAGAGCTCCGTTGGCTCGGTGTCATTGAACGCCAGGGTCCGATCGGCCCAGTGGGCGTACTGGCATGCCAACGAGGACCTGTGGCTGGAGACTGGCAAGATGTTCAGCCGCTTGAGGGGGAAGTAGCTTGTAGACCGCAGGCTTAGGGGAGCGCGGCAGGGCGCTTATGAGTAGGCGAGGCCGTGCACGCAACCAGAAGCGCATTGCGCAGCAGAGAAATCAGATGTTCAGCCGCTTGAGGGGGAAGTAGCTTGTAGACCGCAGGCTTAGGGGAGCGCGGCAGGGCGCTTATGAGTAGGCGAGGCCGTGCACGCAACCAGAAGCGCATTGCGCAGCAGAGAAATCTTGAAGCACACGAAACCTGGCCAGGCGTTTCTCCTGTCTCGGAGCTAAGGAAACTTTGCCAAGCGTGGTGTTTGGTTTCTCTCTAGTCTGGTGGCTCGCGATACCTGGAAAGTCGCTGGTTTTGATTGGTTTGCTGGTCTGGGAGGCATGAGAACCTGTGATTTCATTGGTTTTTCTGGTTTTTCTGGTCTGGGAAGCAGGAAAACCTGTGATTTCATTGGTTTTTCTCTGGTCTGGGAAGCAGGAAAACCTGTGATTTCATTGGTTTTTCGGTCGCACAAAACCAGAAAAACCAATGAAATCACAGGTTTTCCTGCTTCCCAGACCAGAAAAACCAGAAAAACCAATGAAATCACAGGTTTTCCTGCTTCCCAGACCAGAAAAACCAGAAAAACCAATGAAATCACAGGTTTTCTTTGCCCCCAGACCAGAAAAACCAGAAAAACCAATGAAATCAGATGTTTTCCTGTTTCCCAAACCAGAAAAACCAGAAAAACCAATGAAATCACAGGTTTTCCTTGCCCCCAGACCAGAACCTCTGTCCGAGTTCTCTGCGAGGTTGTAACGGTAGTTCTCTCGCATTTGAGCGGCTTTGCGCCAGCGAGGAAGGGGCGAGGAAGATACGAGGAGAGACAGACAACTCGAACGTTCATTTGAAAACCCACCAAAAGGTAGATCTTGGGGGGGGGTGCGACCATATATGTATGTGTGTGTACGTGTAAGTGAATGAATGTATGTATGTATGTATGTGTATGCATGCCTATGTGTACGTATGTGTGTATGTATGTGTGTATGTATGTCTGTATGTATGTATGTAAGTAAGTAAGTATGCATGTATGCATGCATGCATGTATGTGTTTATGTATGGATGCATGTATGTATGTACGTATGTATATATATGTATGTATGTATGTATTTATGTAGATGTGTGTATCCGCCACCGTGCCCTGGGGCCGAATTCGCCAAATCTTCTGGGGCGCACCGCGTGGCCCCTGAGGCTCCCCTGCGGCTCCTCGCGTGGCTCTGGGGGGCCCCGAGAGGGCCCCCAGAGGGGCCAAGAGGGCCCCAACAGGGCTCCGAGACGGTCGACGAGGGCGCCGAATCGCCGCACGATCGCTCCAAGGCGCCCACCGTGGCCCCAAGACGGCCCGAGAAGCCTTCGAGACGCCGCTGGAGAGCCCCAAGAGCCTTCCCAAGAGGGCCCGGAGATGCCAAAATCCGTGATTTTCCTCTGGTTGTTGGAATGTTTGTGGGGTCCTCGACATTTCGAGCTTCGGACGCTCCAAGACGGCCCAAGAAGCCCCCAAGACCGCCCCGAGACAACCCAAAGAGGCCCCCAGGAGGGCCCCAAGGGCCCAAGACGGCCCAAAGACAGCCCCGAGAAGGGCCGAAGAGGGGAACACGAACCGAAAATCCGCCTCAAGAAGCCCCCAGGAGGCCCCCAAGAGGCCCCATGAGACCCCACAGTTGTGTGTATATATATATGTGTGTATGTATATATGTGTGCGCGCATACATATACGGATACTTATATGTTTCCACATAAACATATACATAAACGTAAACGTGCACCCACACATATACGTGAACACATGAATGAACAGATGCTTGATTGTGCCTATGTATAAACATATACATATGCATACACGTATACACATACGTATGACTATACATATACGTATACACCTACACATGCACATGCACATGCACATACATTCATACATACAGACAGACAGACAGACAGACAGACATGCATGCATACATATGTACATGTCTATACATACACACACCGATGTGTGTATATATTCACAAATACAAACATATACACATACACATGCGCATACCTATGCATGCATATCTATATGTGTGTGGGTGCATGTACATGTGCGTATGCACATGTAGGTCCATATACACATACCTGAATATGTGTGCACACATACGCACAAGCTGCATTCACATCAACATGTACGAATACACTAACATACATATACGAATACAAATACATCGACATAAGCATATGCATATGCAGGTATGCATAAACAGAAACATACAAATATGCATACATGTGTATATACATGTATATACAGATGTGTACATAAAGGTACACATATACATATGGACATAGACATATACATATACATGTACTACATATACCTATGAATTTACATACGCATATGCATGTGCATGTACACACATGTATACACGTACATGCACACATACTTACACATGTGAATATACATGCGCATAAATATATATATATATATATATAAACAAATATTCATAGACATATGCAGATACACATACATATACATATACATATACATAAACATATACAAACATGTAGATCTATATACATTTATGTATATACCTACACAGACATATACATGTATGCATACATTTACAGTACACACATACAGATTCAACCACACGCACCCACACACACACATACACACGCACGCACGCACGCACGCACACGCACACACACACACACACACACACACACCAATGCTGGGCTCAGGATCGGCCCAGTTAGGCAGGATCGGTGTGGGTGTATGGCTGGCGCCCTCCCACCTGCCCGTGGCCCGCCCGGAGGAAGACGCTGCGGAGAGGCGGACGGAGTGGTGCTCAGTCCACGCCCGGCTCGTCCTCCTCGCCAACGCCCGCATCGTTGCGCTCGTGCTTGCGCATCAGCTGCGACAGCTCGTCGTTGCCGCGGTCGCGGGTGATGCGCTCCACGCGCTTGTCGATGCCGATGCGGCGGAGGCCTGGCACGTCGTTCTCCTTCAGGTCCCGGAAGCCTGCGTACTTCTTCGCCTCGTTCTGGCTCCAAAAATCCTCCCGGCGGAGCAGGGCCTCGAACAGCTGCTGGTGCGCGCTGAAGGCGTCCTGCCGGGCCCACTCCGGCGGCAGCCTCAGCAGCGCCTTGCCCAGGTGCTGGCGCAGCTCCGCCGAGACCTCCACGGCCGCCCCGCCATCGCCGGGGGCGGCCGACGGCTCCCCGCCGCCCGGCAGCGAGGGCGCCACGCACACGGAGCGGAAGCGCGAGAACAGCAGCGGGTGCAGCTGGTCCATGGCCGCCTCCAGCGCGGGCAGCATGCCGCCTGCGACGAGCACGGAGGCGCACCCCGCAGGGCTGCCCTTCAGCACCCCGTCCCAGACCTTCGGGGACAGCCCGTGCGGCCCCTTGGCCGACGGGCTCGCCCTGAACCTGCGCGGGCCCGGCCCCCGCAAGCCACACATCCTCTCGGGGCGTCCTCTCTCTCTCGACTCCCGGAGGCCAGCATGCCTCCAGAGGCGGCGCCTCCTGCGGGGCCCGCGCCTGCAAGGGTTCAGAGCGCGCCCGCCCGACCTCGCCACAGAAGAGCGCCACGGCGAACCCGTTCGCCTCCGCCCAGCGCAGCAGAGGCGGGCTGGTCGCGGCGCCGACGCCGCCCTCTGCGAGGGCGGCGTCCCAGACGCCGCGCGGCGCGCCCGCGGAGGGCACCACCACCAGCAGCCTGGCGGAGTTCCTCGCGAAGTCGCGGCTCACCAGCGCCAGCGGCGGGTCCGCCCCCGGCGGCGCCCCGGCCATGCCGAGGCGGGCGCCGCACTCCTCCAGGGCGGCCGCCTCCGCGCCGGGAGCCGGCGCGTAGGCCTCGCCCGCGCGCAGGGTGGGCCTGCAGAGGCGCGCCAGGTCCACCTGCGGCGGCGCCGAGGGCGTGGCCACCGCGCCCGGGCAGATGCCCGCCAGACAGCGCAGCATGGCCACGGGTGGTCGTCGGCAACGCTGGGCCGGGCGCGGCCGTGGAGGTAGGCCTCCCAGATGGGGTCCGAGTAGGTGGGGTCGAGGGGTCGCGCCGCATCGCCAATGCGTCGCCGATGTATCGGCGACGCATCGGCGATGCATCCGCGACGTCGGCGACGCATCGGCGAGGTCGGCGTGGGGAAACACGGGCTCCACATCGAGCCGCATTGACGATGCATCGCCGATGCGGTGCGATTCTTCGACACCATCTACTCCGACCCCATCTAAGAGGCCTAGAGGAGTGGAGGAATCAGCGGACAGGGAGGGCCTCGGCTAAACGCAAGGAAAGGATCCGAACTCTCTACACCGATGCTCTTTCCGGCCCTGTACTGAAATTTGCACAGGAGAGCGGTTCCTGGTGTGTACGAGATATCCTGGTGTATCCACCCGGGAAACGGAAACAAAAAAGTGTACACCACACCACCCCGACGTCGCCCCCGACCCTCAAAGGCATGGGAGTGAAAAACAACCAGCCACTGGTCATGAAAAAGTTCCTAGTCCCGACAAGAGTGACCCTCGGCAAGAGTGACCTTTACTGCGCGGCCAAGGGGGTCTCTTTGGGGACACCAACAGCCGCGCAAGCCGCTGCTATCGCCTTGCACTCGGCGATCGGGTGGCCCCATTGGGCCCGCGCCAAAGGTCACTCCGGCGAAAGGTCACTCTGACGTCTCGTCCAGAGGGTCGGGCGTGAACTGACCAGGCTCAGCGCAGACCCAGCTCAGCCCACTTAGAGCAGACTGCCCTACAGCTTTTTCTTCGGCTTCCTGAGCCTGGGCTCGGCCGACATGCAAGGCCATCCCCAGAGCCACGAGCGGCCCCCAAACCCGACTCAGCCAAAACCCTGCTCTGCAAAGCCCTGCGGGGCCCAGCGCTCTGGCTGAACCCCGTGCGCGCTGAACCCATGAAAACCGTTCAACCGACCCCTATCCCCATGGGCGTGGCCTGAGCCCCACTGGACGACGTACCCCCGTAGATGGGGACATAGGCTGTTTCCTTCAGGCTTCGAGGGGTACATCCCCAACTGGGGTGCTGAGATGTTTTTTGTTGCCCAGGATGGGGATGGGGATGGGGGTCGGTTAAACGATACTGACCCCTGTTGCCTGCCAGCCGAGGGGGGGAGGGATGAGCAGGGCGATTCTTCCTGCGACGGCGCGGCTATTCGCCCGAGAGGGGCTCGCCCGCGGCGGCCCTGAGCCAAAGGGCTACAGGTCGTTCAAGCATGAGGCCTCATTTCTGAGGGTGCCCAAGATTCGATGCGATGAGGCCCATCGTCGGCGTCGGCCGAAGCACCATCTTCCGAGTACGTTCTGGACGGGCCAGCCGCGAGGTGAACGAAAACGACGGGGTGGATCGCAAGAGGTGCTGGACGCACGCTGGAGCGGAGGTCCGTGATGCGGACAGCCTGTCGTAAGCTGGGCATCCAGATCGTGGCTGAGGCATTGGAGGGCAAGTATGGCTCCTTTTCTAAGAGGTGCTGATCGACAACATTGAGGCCACCCCCGTGTTCGGCTACCTCCTGCACCGCACACACACACACACGGGACGTTCGCGCGTGGAATGTTTCACCGAGAGATGGAAGAGGAACGAGCGGCAGAGTCAGCTGGGGAGGCGCAAGCGGCAGAGTCAGCTGGGGGAAATGCGGGCGGCACAGTCAAACGGGGGAGGTGCGAGAGACAAGATCAGCTGGGCACAGAGAAACAGCAGGGCCTAAAAAGACCGTCTCGAATGGGAGGATGTAGTTATCTAGACCGCCCAGGGTCCGAAAACTATAACAGCTCCAAAAATAATCCCAGTGCGACCCTACCTAGGAGTTGGAGCTTCTAGGAAAGCAACATTAGTAGGAGCGGTAAACGCCGTCCTCCTCCTTCTCCTCATCGTCGTAGCTGTAGCAGTAGCAGTAGCAGTAGCAGTACCAGTAGTAGTAGCAGTAGCAGTAGCAGTAGCAGTAGCAGTAGCAGCAGCAGCAGCAGTAGCAGTAGCAGTAGCAGTAGCAGTAGCAGTAGCAGTAGCAGTAGCAGTAGCAGTAGCAGTAGCAGTAGCATTAGCATTAGCAGTAGCAGTAGCAGTAGCAGTAGCAGTAGCAGTAGCAGTAGCAGTAGCAGTAGCAGTAGCAGTAGCAGCAGTAGCAGTAGCAGTAGCAGTAGCAGTAGCAGTAGCAGTAGCAGTAGCAGTAGCAGTAGCAGTAGCAGTAGCAGTAGCAGTAGCAGTAGCAGTAGCGTAGCAGTAGCAGTAGCAGTAGCAGTAGCAGTAGCAGCAGTAGCAGTAGCAGTAGCAGTAGCAGTAGCAGTAGCAGTAGCAGTAGCAGTAGCAGTAGCAGTAGCAGTAGCAGTAGCAGTAGCAGTAGCAGTAGCAGTAGCAGTAGCAGTAGCAGTAGCAGTAGCAGTAGCAGTAGCAGTAGCAGTAGCAGTAGCAGTAGCAGTAGCAGTAGCAGTAGCAGTAGCAGTAGCAGTAGCAGCAGTAGCAGTAGCAGTAGCAGTAGTAGTAGTAGTAGTAGTAGTAGTAGTAGTAGTAGTAGTAGTAGTAGTAGTAGTAGTAGTAGTAGTAGTAGTAGTAGTAGTAGTAGTTAGTAGTAGTAGTAGTAGTAGTAGTAGTAGTTAGTAGTAGTAGTACTGTAGTAGTAGTAGTAGCAGTAGTAGTAGCAGTAGCAGTGGTAGTAGTAGTAGTAGTAGTAGTTAGTAGTAGTAGTAGTAGTAGTAGTAGTAGTAGTAGTAGTAGTAGTAGTATAGTAGTAGTAGTAGTAGTAGTCGTAGTAGGTAGTAAGTAGTAGTAGTGAGTAGTAGTAGTAAGTGGTAGTGGTAGTGGTAGTGGTAGTGGCGTAGGTAGTAGTAGAGTAGTAGGTAGTGGTAGTGGTAGTAGTAGTAGTAGTAGTAGTGGTAGTAGTAGTAGTAGTGTAGTGGTAGTGGTGGTAGTGGTAGTGGTAGTGGTAGTGGTAGTGGTAGTGGTAGTGGTAGTGGTAGTGGTAGTGGTAGTGGTAGTGGTAGTAGTAGTAGTAGTAGTAGTGGTAGTGGTAGTGGTAGTGGTAGTGGTAGTAGTAGCAGTAGTAGTAGTAGTAGTAGTAGTAGTAGCAGTAGTAGTAGTAGTAGTAGTAGTAGTAGTAGTAGTAGTAGGTAGTAGTAGTAGTAGCAGTAGTAGTAGTAGTAGTAGTAGTAGTCGTAGTAGTAATAGTAGTAGTAGTAGTAGTAGTAGTAGCAGTAGCAGCAGTAGCAGTAGCAGTAGTAGTCGTAGTAGTCGTAGTAGTCTTAGTAGTCGTAGTAGTCGTAGTAGTCGTAGTAGTCGTAGTAGTCGTAGTAGTCGTAGTAGTCGTAGTAGTCGTAGTAGTCGTAGTAGTCGTAGTAGTCGTTGTAGTCGTAGTAGTAGCAGTAGTAGTAATAGTAGTAGTAGTAGTAGCAGCAGCAGTAGCAGTAGCAGCAGGTAGTAGCAGTAGTAGTAGTAGTAGTAGTAGTAGTAGTAGTAGTAGTAGTAGTAGTAGTAGTAGTAGTAGTAGTAGTAGTAGCAGTAGTAGCGCCAGAACCGCCGACGCCACGCCGTAAGTGAAGCAGCAGCAGAAGCAGGCAGCAAGTCGCCGAGACAGCAGCAAAAGCAAGCAGGCACGGAGATGAGGGCGGGCACGGGAGTTCTTTACATCTACATCTATATCTACACCTACATCTACATCGACACCTACATCTACATCTAGACCTACATCTACATCTACACCTACAGCTACATCTACATCTACACCTGCATCTACATCTACATCTACATCAACAGCCAGACTCACATCTACATCTACATCTACACCTACATCTACACCTACATCTACATCTACATCTACATCTACACCTACATCCACATCTACACCTACACCTACATCTACATCTACATCTACATCTACATCTACACTTTCGCATTGGTTTTGCTTTTGCTTTGCATTGCCTTTGCTTTTGCTCTTGCCTTTGCTTTTGCCTTTGCCCTGGCCTACACCGCACGACTTGGCATTTTGCTTTTACCTTTGCTGTTGCTTTTGCTTGGCTCCCAGGGGACCGGGGGAACCGCCCGGGGCGGGTTCCACTGCCCGGCCCTTTAAGCCAAGCGAGTAAAACCCTTTTAGGCAGAGCCTAGGTAGGGAAAAATGGTGGGTGGGAGGTCAGGCCCAGCAAGCGGTGTTCTCAGCCAGGGGAGACGCAAGCGACAGAGGCAGCCCAGGGAGGTGCAAGCAGCACAGACCACCAGGGCAGCGGGGCCCCCAACTGCTGCTTGCGACTACCCTCTGCCCCGCATGCCGCTGGCTTGGACGCGCACACAATGCATTCAACGATCAGACGCCTGCGATGAGTCTTCAAACAAGTTACAGCTGGAGGACTCGGGGAGCACACTTGTCAGGAACGCACCGAAATACTGGAACAAGAAAGCCATAGCAAGCGGTGAGCAAAAGGTCGTGAGATCGTATGAATACCTGCGCGGATCCCAAACAGAAGGCTCTTCTAGTCGTGTGGGGCAATCTATGTGGCGCAGTACGGTGCAACACATGGTGTGCAAGTTTCTTGTGGCGCCCAGGGCATCGTGGCAACAAAGGCCAACAGGCCCCGAGACCGTGTGGGCGGCCATCGGAAAATCGCAACAGCCAGGGCCAGCGGGACCTAAGACCCTGTAAGCGAACATCAAAAATCGTCCCAGAGAGAACCCGAGACCTTCTGAGACGATTAAGGGTCCAAGAGTGCAAGCACTGTCTGGGGAAGAGTGTGGAAGAGCGTGTTTGCAAATAGCACCGCGCAAGGTAGCGAAGTAGCATATCGTAAAACACAACGTTGCGCAACGTTAGGGAGCTCTGAAAAATCCGCAGCCGCTCTTGCATATGCTGGTGTGTCGCGGGCCATCGCCGTTTCGTTCCTCCAGCTTCTTCCGTAGCACGAATTACCCCCCAGAAATGTCGATCCCAACATGACTCTAATTCGGGTGCAAATACATTGCGTGTTTGGCATCTTCGGCAGAAAATGTACCCCGATTCCCTCCCGCAACCTGCAGTTGCTCAGACGACCCCATAAGCCTGGTGAGTTTGCCCCACATCAATGCTAAGATGGCCCCACGACGGCCACATAGCCTCCAAGACAGCCCAGTATGGCCTCAAGACGCGCCACGGGGCCCCCCAAGACCCCCCAAGATGCCCCCAGAAGAGCCTCCAGAAACCAACAACACACTGTGGTCATTCAGGCTGTTAACGAGCTTGGCGCTCTGGCTGTTCAAAACTTGAGAACGCCTAGGACGACGCAACAAGCCCCAAAAATCGCCACAAGACGGCACAAGAGGCCCTGAAGAGGGCCCCAGGACGGCCCGAGAGATCCTTTTTTAGAGGGCCCTAAAGGGGACCCAACGGGGGAATCGAAATGACCTTGGAAGCCTCTGCCCCCGAGGTAGCCTCAAGCCCGAAGCCCCGCTCGAAGCCTCTACGAAGGCTCCTCGAAGAGACCCCAAGCGGTTCCAAGAAGTCACAACCGCTACTACCTGCAACCACCTCAGGCACCAGAACGACGCAATTGGCGTCGCGCTCCCCCCGCCGGCCTGCGAGAAGCAACTGCGTTTGTCTTCGCTTGGCAACGACCCGGGCACCCTGCGTTTCTCAGTTCGGTTGACGCGCCGACCAGACAACCAGCCAACCTACTGAACCCCGAACCAGGCCAGCAGGCAACCAACCAACCAACCAACTGGCCACCCAATCGGCCAACAGAAGTCCCAGAAAGACAGACAATCGCTGAAGAACGGCCCAGAGACGGCCACACGGAGACGGCCACTCGGCTTCCAGGAGCCCTCCAAAATAGCTCGATTCCCCCGAAGAGACTGCAGACCAGCACATTACGAGGCAGCGGAAGAACCACGAAACGCCGCGACCGCAACTCGCTGCGGTCTGGCTACGCAGTTCCACAAGCGCGGTGGCGCACATGCGCGGCAACGCAACTGGATAGCGATACCACAAGCTATAAAACTGAGCACGCGTATGCTCATACTGCGTCGATGCTTGTGCACTGGAGACGGCCCCGCTGCCGGGATCGTTCCCCAGATGCTGATGGAACAGCCGATGCTGTGGACAACTTGAAAAATGATATGTTTGTTTTTTTCTTTCGAGGAGGAAAGGAGGCGACTGCGGCAAACCTGAGAGTGCACTCGCGAAGCTAAAAGAGGCGTCCCGAATCATGGCGAGCACCTGCTGTCCATGAGACGCGGGCGTGTAGCCATCCTTCGCGGGGCATGCTCTTCCTCCTCTTTATCTGGAGCAGGACTGTCCCCAGCCCTTCGACCTACGCTCATGCACGGACTCTGTGGACGTGGCTGCGCCACGGCATGCCCAAACACGCTTCGCAACGATGCATCAGACTGTCCCGCAGTGCAAGACGAAATCGTACAGTGGAATTCCACATCCACCTTAACAATATGACCCACAAATGTACGCGATGCGTACTACGCGATGGCCATCGGAAAAAAAGGGGGTCCAGCTGCACCAGTGTGAACAGCAGGAAAAGGAGGGTTACGGGCGCAATTGTCGCCGCTCTTACGCTGCCACTTCTCCCAAAAATAAAGTCGCCTTTCAGACAAGCCCGAAGCAGCCACAGGCAACGACAGCAGTGCTCAAAGAGCCGCGAGCCATCGCGTCAGCTCCCCCCTCCTGGCCAAGTGAGCGAGGATCACGAGGGACCAAGAGGGCATGGGCGACCAAATCGACTATTGCGCCCCACCACAAGCGCGATTGCTGGGAGGGGGGAGACTTCCTCGTACTCCCCCCTTCCTCCTCCTCCTCCTCCTCCTCCTCCTCCTCCTCCTCCTCCTCCTCCTCCTCCTCCTCCTCTTCCTCCTCCTCCTCCTCCTCCTCTTCCTCCTGCTCCTCCTCCTCCTCTTCCTCCTCCTCCTCTTCCTCATCCTCATCCTCCTCTTCTTGCTCCTCTTGCTCGTCCTCCTCTTCCTCATCCTCCTCTTCCTCATCCTTCTCTTCCTCTTCCTCCTCCTCCCCTCCGTCCCCCCCGCTCCATTCCCATTGGGATCGCATCGTAGTTCGAGTCAACCCAAAGGCATACGATGTTTTTGGATATGTTCCGTTCCTGCTGTAGTCCTGGTGGAGTTTAGTGCGAACGCAATCGGATTATCCGTTTCTTTCCCTCTCTCTCTCTCTCTCTCTCGTTTCTTTGCCTGTCTCTCTCCCCCCCCCCCCCGAAAAAATCCTGAAACGGCCAAGAACTGCATCCAAGCTGCCGCCAGAGGAAAAAGAGAAGGACGGAGCGGGAGGGAGAAGAAGAGCGGCGCCGCGGATTCAACACGATAACGCGCGACGCCGCGGCGGAGCCCCATTTTGAAAAATCACTCGCCCTCCATCCGTGCAACTGCTGGAAACCTCGGGCTTCAAGATCGCGAGCGGTGAAGAAGCCTCGGGCGCAACGCCCTGCCCGCCATAACAGCAAGTTTGGTGGTGAGACAGAACTGGGTTGTTCATGAAGAGGGACGGGGGGGCGAAGCGGAAATGCTTAGTTTTAAGCTGGGCGTATCCCCAATCCAGGCGCATTTTGCACGAAAAACAAAAACCAAGTCAAAACATACCCCCAAAATGGTCCAGAATGGTCGGAAAATCGTCCCCTTATCATTTTGGACTATATTTGATTATTCCTCCTGTAGAGGGAAGGGCCCCCCTTCAGATTAGTCGTTCACCGCAAAACTTCCACGTGCGGCCAGAACCCACGAGTTGCTCGGATCTACCGCGGGCAGCGCCCGCCGCCACGCCAGCCCGCGAGCATCGCAGCCCCACGGAGGAGACAAGAGGGAAAAGAGGGGAAAGGGATCAGACGCGCGGCGCCGCGAACTGGTAGCAAGGACCCGATACCACGAAAAGCTCGGGAACAGACATGCAGAAGAGGAGCTCCGTCGCTCGATCACGCGCTGACACGGATCGGAACGCCAGCCCCGACACACGACGCCTGCGGCCTGATCTGGAGACGGAGCGCGCCGATTTTGAAGCTCGCCGGTCACCTTTGAAGGCATTTGCATCCACCAGTTATGTTCTGAACCAAATGGAACGAATATGTGCCAACCCCCTCGGACTGAGCATGCCCCCTTTGCAAGGGCATCTCTGGTCCAGGGACGCACGCCGGCAAGGAGCCCTGATGGCTGCTGCTCAGACCTGAGGCGCCTCGCCTTCGGCTGAGCCGACGACGTCAAGAACGACGATCCGCTTCCTCAAAACTGGAGCTCTGGCTACCAGGTCTACCGGATTAGCCGGCAGACGCAGCAGCCCTGGCCTTGAACAAATGAGAATAGGCTGTCACGCAGGGAAGAACCACCCCCCCCCCTTTCCTTGACCGAACGGGCCCCTCGGAGGATTCCACCGACTGCCCCCAAAACATTGATTGTCCACGGCCCAGGGGTGCGAGAGGCGCGCGTGGAAAGCACACCCGCGTTGAAGCCCTTGTCGCGCGCCTGGAAATGCACCCGCGTTGAAGTCCTCGTCGCGCACCACTTCTGTGGTCTCTTCGCCGACAACGCCCATGTTGCTGATCGAGACGATCCACTTTAGGACCTCGTCGTACACACAATTGGCACGGCATCCATGGCGGCGTCGAGCCCTGGAGAGACTTCGGCCGAGAACCAGAAGTTTACCTGTCACCTTTGAAGACATCAGTATTCACCAATTACGTGTTGAATGATACCGGAGAAAAAAAAAACAATCAGAATTTGTGTTAGGGCTATATGGCTAAAGGGCTATCTATAAGGCTAGGGCTATAGGGCTATAGAGCTATAGGGCTATAGGACTATATGGCTATAGCGCTATAGGGCTATACGGCTATAGAGCTATAGGGCTATAGGGCTATAGGGCTATATGGCTATAAGGCTATAGGGCTATAGGGCTATAGGGCTATAGGGCTATATGGCTATAAGGCTATAGGGCTATAGGGCTGTAGGGCTATAGGGCTATAAGGCTATAGTGTTATAGGGCTATAGGGCTATTGGGCTATAGGGCTATATGTTTCAGGGCTACAGGGTTATAAGGCTATAGGGCTATAGGGCGATAGAGCACCCAGGCACCCGGGCACCCCCGGGAACCTCTGGGCACCCCCGGGCACCTCCAGGCTCCCCCGGGCACCTGGGCACCCGGGCACCTGGACCGGCCACCGAAATCGGCGACCCACCTCACCTAACCATATGAATGCGCTAGGACCCCTTAAAGAGGCAAGCTGCTAATCCGCGCGCCTTAATCCATGTCTGCGGTTCCTCGGTTCGAAGGGCGGATTCCGAACGGACCTGATCCAAAAAACTCAAAGGAGACCAACCGTCTCAAACAGAATAATCTAACGGACGGGCCTGGGCTATACTACCTGCTTGCGGTGCTTACTGCTACTCCCGCGGCGCTATGCTCCCGTGCTAGCTTGTGTGATGCTTGCTGCGCCGTACTCGAGCTGGCCTGAGAGAGTTGCACGTCCTCGGAGGCCGAGCTCGAGTTCCCAAAGCTGGCACCACCCGCCCGCAGACCTCCCTCTCCTCCCCCTCCCTCTGGCCGTCCTGGAGCTGCTGCTCGTACGCCATCTCCTTCGACGCCGCGGCCACCTCCGACGGCTGCTGGGCCGCGCCCGCGCCTCGGGAGACTGGGACGACGGGTGGCAGGAGGGGGAGGTCCCCTCCCTTCGCTCCGTCCCTCTTCGCTATACATGATACAGTCAGCTCGTCTCAAAAGGATGTGCGGTAAGGATGCAAGGGCCTTGGACGGCCATGCTAACGCTTTTCGAACGAGGTCGGCCAACGAAAGTGGCCAAGGATGGACCCAAGAGGCAATGATGCACGGGCACCCTTTGGCAAGGTTGCCCATCCTTACGATGCAGGTTGACTGTACAGCCACCCCCCCGCCCAGCCGAACCTCACGACGGGGGTGCTCACCTCACGCCGCCCCCGCCAGCACACCACGGACCCGGCGCGCGCGAACTCCTCCTGGCGCCTGGCTTGCCGGCCTGACGCCAACGCCGCCGGCACTCGCCGAGAACGCGCGGAGGCAGCCGTGGATGCCGAGCGTGGCCCCAGAGAAGCACGGAGAGCCAACCTGTCTGCCTGCTCCTCCTCAGCTTCGGCCTCGTCGTCGTCGGGTGCGCCGTAGACTGCGCCATAGGTCGCGCCGCCTGCTGCGACATGGGCTGCTCCGTAGGCTGCGCCAGTGGTTGCACCACTGGCTACGCCATGGGTGCACCATAGGCTTCGCCGCTGCTCGCGCCGTAGGTTTCGCCATACGTTGCGAAGTAGTTCGCGCAACAGCTTATCGCGCCGATGGTTGCGCCATCGGTTGCACTATGGGCTGCAGCGTAGGCTGCACCGCAAGTTGCGCCGCAGGCTGCGGCATAGGTTACACTATAAGTGCACCACAGACTGCGCGATTAGTTGCGCC